ATAGCATACTGTACCAATGTATAAGATTATAGATCAATGAACAAAATGTCAGTATATTCACTTTTATTAATAATAGTTACTAGTTAATGTTATATAGCTTTTTAAGGTTTGCAAACAGCTTTCAATATACTATCTTATTTGATACTCCCAACAATCCTGTGGAATAGGTGGCATTATTATTGCCATTTTACAGGTGAGGAAACTGAGCCTGAGAGAGGCTGAATAACCTGCTCAGGGTCACACACCTAGGAAGTATCTGAGGCAGGATTTGAATTCAGTTTGTCCTGATGCCCAGGCCAGCACTTTATTCTCCTAGCTGTCTCAGATATTAAAACCTTTGTGATGATGGAAAATAAGTCCCTCTTCTTTCTGGGCCTAATTTTACTCATATTTAAAGGGCAAATCATCTTTCTTCACTGGGCCTTAAGTTATTCATCTGTAAAATGAAAGACCTAGCCTAGATGACTTCAAAGACCCCTTCCAGCTCTGAACTATGAGAAGTTCCTTAGGTGATGAGTCCATCCTTGATTGTTAAAAGATAGTTGTCTCACCTGGCAACTCCGCTGCTGTATTCACAGTTTGCATGCATGTGACAGAATTGGACATAGGGGCCACACGCTGTGGTCTGCTTATCACAGAACTTTCCAGCTGATCCATCCTTACAGGTTCCAGGAAGGCAGGCCCCATCGCCAGCTACTCGATTGTCGCACTTCCCATGAACACACAAACATTCTAGAAGACAAGAGAAATTGGGGCTCAGTTTTGGGGGGTACAATGTAAACTCTGAGTCTAGTGTCGCACAACCTGGGTTACCCACTGGGCTGAGTGAGCCATGAAGATGGCCCAGGGTGATGGCCATCAATTGACATAGTATAGGTTTATCCAAAAGCAAGTGAAAAACAGAGAAGAGATTGGTAACCTACCCTGGTTAGGTAGGGGATGTTTCTATCCTATCCTTTTCCTCTTTCCTTATCAGTTACAGTTGCTTTAAAGAAACTTACAACATCAATAGGTTAAATCCCAGCAATGAATGGAATTGAAGATCTTATTTTGGACCCATGCCAGCATCTCTTTTAAAAGAAAGTCTTTTTTTTTTATGCCTTTTTCTGTTTTAAAACATTGTTGATTTCCTATGACACCTCTTTTCCCTCCCTCTATCCCACCACACATACCTGACTGAACTTTTCCTTGAAACAAATAACTTAATTAAGATCACAGATTACTTAATTGGTTCACAGTCAAAGCAAAACAAATCTATATATTGGCCATTTCTGAAAACATATGCCTACTTCAGCACCCATTGTTCACAATGTTTGCCTGTTTGCCAATAGGAAGGAGGCATGTATCACCAGCAATTTCCAGGGTGATTTCCTATATTTTACTCATTACTTAGTACATGGCATACTTTCCTGTTATATGTGAGAAAAAGTTGGATGAATGGCTAATTTTCTGGGGGCGTGGGGTGGGTGGTGGACATCTGATCCTGTGAAAGATGCCTAGAAGGATAAAAAGCAGTATGGCATATCGGATCTGGAAACCAGAGGACAGGTGTTTGAATCTCAGCTCTGATCCTAGCTGGGTAACTTGGTCAGATATCTGTGCCTCGGTTTCCTCATCTATGAAAAGAGAGGGTTGGACTAGATCCCAGAATTTCAGAGTTTAAGGGACTTCAGTGGTCATTTAGTCTAATTTGAATCTGGAAAAGAGCCTACAACAAACTCGATGAATGCTTATCCAGCTTTCAAGTGACCTCAAGTGAAAAGGAAGCCATCTCCCTCCCCAGCAGCCCATCCCACTTTGAGGCAACTATCATCGTTTTAGGAACTTTTTCCTAACACAAAGCCTAAACTTATCTATTTGCAATTTTCACTTTTTTTTCCTTGTTTTGCCTTCTGGGGCTAAGTTGAATAAATCTAATCTCTTTGCACCTGGGTTAGGTGCTAGGGATACAAAGACTGAAAAAAAAAAAACCAAACCAATCCTTGCCCTAGGAGCTGGAAGAAAATAACACATAAATATAAATAGAAATTAACAGAAATATATACAAAATAAATTTTGGGTGGGAGGACACTAATGCCTGAAGGAAGGAGGAAAGTCTTCTTGTAGGAGATGGAACCTAACTCTGGAAGGTAGGCAGGGGTTCCAAGTGGTGGAGATGAGGAGGGACAACATTCTAGGTCTTGAGACCATTGTCAAGGGAAAGAGAAGAGGGCATCCAGTGAAAGAAGCCAATCCCATGATGATTTTTAAAGAGGGGCTTACAAACCTTTGAAAAGGTAAAAATTCATTGGAAAGGAGTAAGATTCAAATATGGACATGAGCTCAACATGCACATGTATAAATGTATGCATATATGTATGTTTGTCATTCAGTCGTTTCAGTTGAGTCCTACTCTTTGTGACAGTATTTGGGATTTTCTTGGAAGAGATACTGGAATGGTTTGCCAATTTCTTCTCCAGCTCATTTTACAGATGAGGAAACTGAGACAAACAGAATGAAATGACTTGCCCAGGGTCACACAGCTAGGAAGTATCTGAGGCTACATTTGAACTCAGGTCTTCCTGACTCGAGGCCGACCACTCTATCCACCATGGCGCCACCTAGCTGCCCCTTCATTTTTCAGAAAAGAAAGCAGAGGCCTACAGAGTCCAAGTGACTTCCCTAAGGTTATTCAGGAGTCAGCCCACAAGCATTTATTAAAAACATTTACTTTGTATCCAGCATGGTGTTTAGGGCTAAAGATACAAAGAAAGGCGAAAATCATGGTGCCTGCCCTCAGGGAACTCCCATTCTAACGGTGGAGACAGCAGGCAAATGAGTATGTACCTCAAAATATTCCAAGTAAGAGCTAATATTTATAAAGGCTTTATGGTTTCCAAAACTCTTTATAACTCTTTATATTACTTAAGCTTCCTAATAACCCTGTGAATACTTTTGTTGTCCCTATTTTAACAACTGATCAAATGAGCTAATAATAATGATAATTATAAATTAAAGCTAATAATAACAATAATAATAATAATAATAATAATAATAATAATTTTTACATAATGCTTTAAGGTTTGCAAAGCACAACAGCCCTGGGAGGTAGATGCTATTATTATCCCCATTTTACAGATAAGGAAACTGAGGCAGAAAGTGGTTAAGTGCCTTGCTCAGGATCACACAGCTAGTAGGAAAAGCACTGGACTTAGAGTCAGAGGGCCTAGATTCCAAGCCTGCCTGGGGTTAAATGATTTTCCTAGGGTCACATCGCTAGTAACTATTTGAGGTAGGATTCAGAACTTAAGTCTGCCAACGTTGCCTGCCACCCCCAGCTAAAGGCACATTGACAAGGACTTTTGGACAATGGTGAGCTGATGCTCCACCAACATCATGTCTTCATCGAGGCTATAAACAGCATGGGGTAAATCAAGTCTCGCAAAGGTAAGGAAGTGGTGCCTAAACTAAAGGATGACTTACTTTTTTCACACTGGGGTCCGTATTTCCCAGGATCGGAGCAGAATTGACAGCGAGAGCCTTGGAATCTGTTGTCACAAATGCAAGTCCCATTACCACTGAGCCCATCAGCACACTGTAACAGGAACAGGCTCTTTGGTAAGTCAGCATCACCCAGGGAAATATTCCCTAGGCTACTTGACTTCTTCTTCTTCTTCTTTTTTTTTTTTTTTGCTTTTTGGTGAGGCGATTGGGGTTAAGTGACTTGCTCAGGGTCACACAGCTAGTAAGTGTTAAGTGTCTGAGGCTGGATTTGAACTCAGGTCTGCCTGACTCCAAGGCCAGAGCTCTATTCACCATGCCACATAGCTGCCCCATGGCTACTTGACTTCTTGACTTAGCTTTGTCTATCCAGACTCTGTTTCATGTAGTCTCTCTATGGGGTGCTATTTCTAGAACTTGGTGTGGTATTGATTCTCAAGAAAGAGGAAGTCACATTCATTGCTTGTTGAGTGTTTCTCAAACTAGGGTTTAGGACTTTACAGGGACTCATGGGAGAAATACTCAGGGGGCACTAGGAGGACCTAGAAGTTATAAATTGTTTTTGTCACTAAATAAACCCTCAGTCATAGGGTGAATGCTAAAAGGGACTTTGAAGGCCGTGTAGTTCAACCCTCTCCTTTTAGATATAGGAAAACTGAGGCCTAGGGAGGTCATGGGGCTTATCGATTTAGAGCTGGAAGACACCTTGGAACCTGCCTGCTTTGATCCTCTCGTTTTACAAATGAGGAAATGGGGCTCTCGGATGTTACGTGATATTTCCCGAGGACTAACAGCTAATAAATTTCAGAGGCTGGATTTGAACTCAGATCTTCCTGTTTTCCATTCTAGTATTCTCTCCAAAATCTACTTTTTGGCTTCTATGCTTACATTTCTTTCCCGTTTCCCCCTTCTAACACTTAACATTTGTTTGGATAGCAAGAGAGAAGTTGGAACTGCAGCTCTCTCCTTGGCTTTTTGGTGGAAGAGTTATGTTAGTTGTCCTTAGTTCTTGAAGAGGACCAAAATGACATCATTATGTTGGGGTCAAGGTACAGTGTGTCTGACTGTGGCTGATCAGACTAATACGAGCCCAGAAGGCTCTACCACAGGTCAGGCACAAATAGTCCATATTAAACATTCGGAGTGGAGATGTCTCTAAATTTGTGCATCTCCCATAGAAAAGCTACACTTCTACCATACAAACCATAGACCTGTTTTCCTTTTCTTGTTGTTGCCCCCCTGCCCTTTTCCCCTTTCTTTCTTTTCCCTCCCCTCCAAATCTCTTTCCCTTGTCACCTGTCCATTTCCGGAGCATGGATTAGAAAACCCTCCTGGACACTGGTTACAGTCTGGACCGTAGAAGCCTTTGCAACACTTGGGTATCTGAGAAACACAATTTTGTTTTCATTTTTCAGTCTGTAAAGCCAAACTCAGCTCTTCATTTGCTTGCTCAAAGATGTGATGAGTCAATTATTACAAACGATTAGATCCCCTCATTGACCATCTTCTTTCTTTCACAGAGGACAGAGAGCTTTTCCAGGGTTCAGTAATGTCCCTCCCCTTTGGCAAGCAAGGAGGGTGAAGCACGGAGAGGAAAGCAACATTTGGATGAAAGACACTTCGGGTCTGGCCAAGCTGCTGGAACAAAGCCCTCAACCTCACGCCTTACCTTTACAGTAGAGTTACAGTATCTGGCACAACCCTTGGTAGGAAATTTCTCATCCCCTATCTTGCGACCGTAAACACAGTTCGATGTAAATAGGCTCTGGAAAGACCGAGGAGAGAAAGCATGATACACTAAAATATAAAGGTAACTCAAAGAAAATCTGGCAACGTTATTTGGGCTGTTAGGTGATAATCAAGTCAACGAGCCTTTTTTAAGCACATTACTATGGTGTGTACTTGTTGTATCTCATTAGAAAGAGAACGTCAAATTGATTAGACTAGCTATGCCATTTCAGGGGACACACAGAGGTAGATTCTGCTCCAGGAAAAGCCAACACGTGGCCAACTAGGATCCCAGAGGACTGCTGATGGAGGGTGTTACCCATGTCCCAACACACGATGTAGGAAGTTCCTGCTATCAATGCCGATCAGCACACACTTTGCAACTTATAGACTTAAAAGGCAATTGCCTGGGGCACTAAGAGGTCAAGGGACTTGTCCAGGGTCACCCAGCCAGAGCATATCAGAGATAGAAAACTCAGGTTTTTCTGACTCCAAGACTTGCCCTGTATCCCCTACACCATGCTACCTGTCCTTTTTCAAATGAGCATATTTTAAAATAAAGGGGAAAAAATAGAGTAAGAATGAGCCTTATAATATTCCAGTTAGGATAGGTACCTGTTTTAAATGAAAAAGCAAAACAAAACAAAAAAGAGACAGCAGAAAGAGGCATGAAAGCCTATCTATGTTTCTCAAGAAATATTCCTGCTCACCAAGGGCTCTGAGTTGGCGGGACACACGCTCCAGTACACCATGCCACAGCTCACGCACGTGCCCTGAAATGAGAACAAGGGCATGTGAGTCCTTTCTGGAAGGTGCCCACTGAGAATCATGGACTGATACGAACAAGGAAAAGGCTGACTTTGGGCTGGGAAGGAGGGATCCCATGGCAAAGCGAGCCTTCAGTTCATTCATTTCCACTTTCTCTGGTAGAATCTTGGAGGAAGGAGGGACCTTATCAGACTCTGAGCAAGAATCCATGACGCACGAAACCCAACCAATGTGCTAACCAGCTTCTACTGAATGACCTTCAAGGACGGGGAGCCCACCACCTCTTGAGGTGGCTCGTTTCCCTTTGGGATGGCTCTGGTTGTAGAATTTTTTCCTGTTTGTCTCTTATAACTTCCTGTCATTGCTCTGAGCTCTACCCTCTGAGTGACAAACAGGAAATCTAATCCCTCTTCCATTTCAAATACATGAAGACAGCTATCATGTATCCCCCAAGTCTTCTCTTCTCCAGGATTAATAAACATCCTCAGTTTGTAGGATTCAAGATCTAGAGCTGGAAGGGACCTCAGAGGTCATGTGGTCCAACCCCCTCATTTTACAGATGAGGAAACTGAGGCCCAGAGAGAGAATGGGATTATGGATCCAGAGCTGGAAGGGACCTCAGAAGTCATCTAGTCTAACTCCCCTCATTTTTTTTTTTTGGCAATTGGGGTTAAGTGACTTGCCCAGGGTCACACAGCTAGTGAGTGTCAAATGTTTGGTCAGAGGCTGGATTTGAACTCAGGTCCTCCTGACTTCAGGGCCGGTGCTCTGTCCACTGTGCCACCTAGCTGCCCTTCAAACCCCCTCATTTTATGGATGAGGAAACTGAGGCCAGAGATGTGACAAGTAAATTGCACAAGGTCACAGGTAGTAAGTGACCCTGGAAGGATTTCAACCTCAGTTCTCTGGCTCCAAAGCCAGTATTCTTTCTTCTGGATCATTCTCTTCCATCATGATTTCAAACTCTTTTCACCATCTTGGTTGCTTTCATCTGGATGCCATTCAGCTTACTGATATCTTTCCTAAAATATAGCTTTTAGAATGTGACACAATAATCCAGATGTGCTGTTAAAAAAATAGACAAGTTGTTCCCAGTCTTCTGCCAGTCCCGGGTGTGTTTCCCAGTCCCTTCTCTCTGAACACTTTCCAGAAAATGCTGAAATTTTTAAAAGACTTATTAAAATCCTCCCAAATCATCTACAACAAATAACAGTTATTCTTAGTAGAAGAGGAGATTCATAAGCTCATAGCTCCTCTTAAGAGCATAAATCTCTGCTGGAAGGAAACATAGAGGTCTATCTAGAATTCAACCACTTTATTTTGTAGTGAGAAACCAAGCCCAGAGAGGTTAATAATTGATCACATAAGTAGTAAGTGTCAGAGTCAGGATTTGAACTCAAATCTTTGACTCCAAATCTAGTCATGTTTCCACTGTACCACAGCAACAACTCCCTGGGCTATTCGTCCATTCTTGGATTTTCAACCCTGTTGGTGTTGCGTGGTACCTGTGTTAGGACAGAGGTCAAGTGATCTGCCCAAGGTCACCCAGACAGTCAGCATCAGAGTCAGCATTTGAACTCATTGGGATTGTAATCTAGAGTTGGGAAGGGTGTCCAAGGCTCAGAAGAGATTAAAGGCTTGTTAACATCACGTGAATGTGAAATAGAAGAAAGAGTGAGCATTTGAACTCGGGTCCTCTGATGGTTGGTCTAGGAGGCTTCCCAACCAACCACGGTCCTGGCCCCTGGTTTCAGCTTTTGTACTCATCTCTCTACAGCTGCTGACTTCCCTATGTGATACTTAAGTTCTTTACACTGTAGCTTAAAGCCATAACCTGTATCCATAACCCAGCCCCCTCCTACCTTTCCAGTCCTCTCCCATCTTACTCCCTGACACATACTCTTTGATCCAGGGACACCAGCCTCCAGGCTGTTCCGCCAATAAGACCCTCCATCTCTCAGCTCTGAGTATTTTCTCTGACTGCCCCCCATGTCTGGAATGCTCTTCTTCTTCCTCTAGACCACTGACCTCCAGGCTTCCTTTAAGTGCTGACTAAAATTCTACCTACTACAAGAAGCCTTCCCCAGCCCTTTTCATTTCAGTACCTTCCCTCTGTTAATTATTTCTTATTTATCCTATATATAGCTCACTTTGAGTTTACGTATATTTGTTTGAATTTTGTCTCTCCTATTAGATTATAAGCTCCTTGAGGGCAGGGACTATCTTTTGCCTCTTTTTATATCCCCGCTGCTTAGCACAGTGCCTGGTGCATGAGCACTTAATAAATGTTTTTTTGATTGATATAGGTCCTCGGATACTTCCTAGCTGTGTGGCCATAGGTAAGTCACTTAACCTCTGTCTGACATAGTTTCCTTATTTGTAAAATGAGGATAATAGTAGCACTTAAATCCCAGGGTTGTTGTGAGAATAAAATGAGATACGTGTAAAAGCACTTTGCAAACCTTAAAACATTTTATAAATGTTTCGTTATTATTATTAGTAGTAGTGGTGGTGGTGGCGGCGGTAGAAGTAGTGGTGGTAGTGGTAGTAGCAGTGGTGGTGGTGGTGGTGGTAGTGGTAGTAGTAGTAGTAGTAGTAGTAGTAGTAGTGGTAGTAGTAATACCAGCACCACCACCACCACCACCACCATCACTTGTCTCTGAGGATACAATGCTATTTGTCAACCTCAGGTCAATGACTACCTCCATCTATCCCTCTTCCCCATAAAATCTACTTAACATATTTTCTCATCTACTTTTGAGCACTATTTCCCCACAATTAATGAATATCCATTTCCCAACTTTTCCATCCTTTTAAGAAGCTTTCCTCCGGCCCCATCCCAATCCTCACGCAGGTATAATGCCTGATGAGGCCATGAGTCTACTCCTACTTAGATGAGTCAGACAGCTGATCCAGCTGCTCCTCTCTGTGTTTTGATGAGGAAGGAAAAGTAATTTGGGAAGGTAAGAAGGGCAGGTATTGGGCTGGGGGGAATTGCCTTCGTATCCTCCCCGTGGTTCCAGGCTAGCAGAGCCTCCTCCCATGACCTTCTTGGTAAGATGCCCAGGGCATGATCACACATGTGGGCTATAACTTATGACTGTTCTAGGCAGGAATGTGGCTGTGGGCAGGGGTGTTCTTTCTCTGAGAAAGATGCTGAATGCCAGCAGGTTGAGAATTACATCTGGGGTCAGGGAATAGGTTTTTTTTTTTAAATAGAGCAGATGCTTTGTGTTGCTTGACTGAACTTATCAAGAGACCTTAGCTGTCTGTATGCATTTGGAGACCCAGTTTTCCATAGACATCACTAAGCTTATTATCCCAGTGGTATTGCTAACCCAAAGGGAAGTAAACACTCAGTGACAATTCCGTCTGTAAAAGGGGGATTGGATTAGATACAAAATGGCAGTTGGGTTGGCTGAGCCGCATGGGAGCTATTAGGAGACCAGAAGTAACTATTCAGAATTTTGTTGTGAGAACCCACGAGGGACCAGCTGGAAAGCACTCAAGAGAAGGAACAGCACTGATACAAAATATTATTCCTGCAATAAACTTGGGCTTGTGGTATCCGTGGGAACCTGAAAAACATCCATATGGCAGTGGGGAACTTTAAAACATTCTGATTTCAACAGGATGAGTCTAAAGGTTACCATGGAAACAAGAGTAGACCCCAAGGGGGTTCGTAAGCTCCGAGAATAGCAGTATTTGGCATTTCAAAAACACTGAACATTTAGTTAATTGGCTAACCCACACGTTTCCTGTGAGGCATCAGTTTTATCTCCATTTTAAAGAGGATAAAACCGAGGGATACTACGATTATAAATTACAGAGTAGGTACAGATTCACCTCAGCAGAGAGAGTTTCCTCACTAGGAGTTTCTGACACCAATAAAATCAGAAGTCTATGGAGTATGTATTTACATGTGTACTTGTCACCCCTTTGGGATCAAGGATCACCCCATTCTTCGTATTTTTATCCCCACCACTTAGCACAGTGCCTGGCACATCACAGGTGCTGAAAAATACTTGTTGGTTGCTTTTTCTCCTCCGGTCTGGCATTCTGCAGTTTCCCCCTGCCTCCAGAGCAGCGCTGATTGCTCCTTGGTACACGAAGGGCAAGGCTTGTGAGGTCCTTGTTTAGCATGTCTGGGAGAGGTTTGTTTGC